CCGGCTCCTGAGCTGCCTCATGACAAACTAACACCTCTAAACCACAGCAAGGCAGTGAGAGGTAAATAATACCCAACTTCAGGTAGAGAAAATAAAAAACGATTTCCCCAAAGCGGGATCTCCTGATCTCACCTTGACGATCTCCTCTCCGCTGACGTGCCGCAGTCGGCCCAGGATGTCCATCACTCGGTCCGGATGAGCTTTCCACTTCAGCAGCGCCAGAAGATCCACTGCAGCCAGAGAGGAATGATCAATACACTAAATTAAAATGTGATACAAAGACTTAGAAGGAAAGGCGTAATGTGTGTGTGTGTGTGTGTGTGTGAGCATGACGTTTAGATTTGAGTGGACTGTAAACTGAGGCGGGTGTGATTTGTATGTACATCTCCAGGCATGTTATATATATTATATATATTTGGTGGAGGACAGCTGGGTTTGGATCCAGAAGTTCTCCTTGGCTTGTTAGAGTTTTATATTTTGAAGGAAGAAGTTACCGTTCTGAGTGAGTTTGGTGGAGGACAGCTGGGTTTGGATCCAGAAGTTCTCCTTGGCGCTGCGCTGGAACACCAGGCTGGAGGGCAGGCTGGAGCAGCTGTTGAAGTCCTCTTTGCAGCAGGGCAGCCCGAGGTACAGGGCGTGGTTACTGAAGAGCGTGTTCTCATCACACTGGGGGCAAGACAGGATTTTGAGAGTTTCAAAATAAAGTCAGAATTTTGAGAAAAATCGAAAAACCGGATTATTAGAAAGTCAGAAAAATGTCAGGATTTTGTGAACAATTTTCAGATTTTCCGAAAAAGTAAAAAAGAAAAGTAAAATAATTGAGATTTTCAGAACAATTTCAAAAATCTGAACATGCAGCATTTTAAGAGAAAATGTCAGAATGCTGAGAATCGGAATCCTGAGATTTTAAGAAAAAATAAAAGGTTAAGATTTTTTGAATTTCTCCGAAAATAATTTTCAAAATAAAGGCATGTGAGAATTTCACAATAAAGTCAGAATTTTGAGAAATCTCAGAAAAATTCAGGATTTGGAGAAAGCAATCAGAATATTTCGAAAAAGTTTGAATTTTGAGAAATCTCAGAACATTTTTGAATTCTGAGATGTTTAGAAATAAGTTGATTTTGTGAAAAAGTCAGATTTCTTAGAATTCAAAATAAAGTCTGAATTTTGAGGGGAAAGTCAGAAATAAAGACGTATTGGAAACATAGGTGGAGTTCTCAGACTGAAGGCTGACCTTGTAAACGTAGAGTTCGTGGCTCTCGTCTGACAGCGTGGTTCCATCCTCTCTCATCAGAGGAGTGAAGGAGAAGCCAAACAGCTTCTTCTCCCCTTTGTCTTTCGCTGTGAAGAGGAAACAGAGAGGAACAAGAAGAAGACAGAAGATTAGAGTGAGACACATTTCCTCCTGGCTTTGATTGAACTCTGTGCACACTGTCCACTTATTCAAACTGACGTCAACCAAATGAATAGATCCCTTTCCTGCTGTTACTCTTCTTCACTTTTCTAATCATTGCATTACAAATAGGTGACAACTATTAGAAAGCATGTCATGAATCCATGTGATTGGATAACAGAAGGTTAGGGAGGAAAGCTCCATGGCCTTCCACCCTAACTGTATATGCTCATATTTAATACATTTGAAACAGTAAGTCTTGAGGTGTACTCACTGGAGCAGTGTCTGAACTCGAAGCGGAGGTGCGACCCTCTGAAGCGGTCCACGGGGATCGGCAGCTTGATGACTTCGCTCCATCGAGGGCTGTTGTTGTGATAGAGGACGAAGGAGCGGTGCTCTGGGAGGGGGGGCTCCCCGGACCCCAGGCTGATGCACTCCTGCAGGGGGGGGAGGGTTAACATGCATGTAAACCACACTTTAGTTTGTGACTTTAACATGGGAGGTCGTAGACTGGAGGAAGCGGGAGTAAAACGTGGAAATGAGTCAGAATGGAAGCACTTCCTGTCCCCTCGTCTGGAAGTGAAGGAGCTTTATTTAAATGTTTTCTGAGTGTGTTTTTCAGGGACATGGACAGCATCACAGCAACACGGAAACTGATGTAGTTTCTAATCTACCCGCAAATCCACCTTTAAATCCTTGTTCCAGGCCTGTATGTCAGTCACTCTAACACTTTGCACCGTTTAGTGGGAGGTCGTAGAGTGGTGCAGGAAGTGGGAATAGAACCTGGAAATGAGTCAGAATGGAAGCACTTCCTGTCCCCTCGTCTGGAAGTCAATGAGCTTTATTTAAATGTTTTCTGAGTGTGTTTTTGGTTAAATATCTGGAACCATATCTGAAGTTTACATGTAATATATCAGTGGCAAAATGAGGGTAAACATAAATCCTTTTTCCATGCATGTATGTTAGTGACTTTAACACTTTAACACAGTTTAGTGGGAGGTCGTGAGTGATACAGGAAGTGTGAATACAACCTGGAAATTACCGTAGTCAGAATTTTGGTTTGATAACTGAAATGTAATTTTAAGGGTTTTTCATGTTTTGTTCTACGACATCAAATATGGCAATTAAAGACACAGTCATGAATTTGGAAGCATTCATCTTATAGTATTGAAATGACTGATACAGCTTTCCCACACTAGGTGATACGCATTAGGTTCAAAGAGTGCAGAGGAAGGAGGGACAGAAGCAGATTGAAGGTTTGTGTTGTTTCTTTTATAGCAGCTCTTTACCTTGAGGATCTCTCCGTCGGCGTACAACACGTAGACGGTGACTTCAATGTTTTTCTGAACGCTCTTCCCTCCTCTCTCGAAGTCGCCTCGCTCCAGGGTCAGGTACAGGTCGTTTCGGATGTCCCCTGAGAGCGAGACGGACACAATGAACCTTATAGTTTACAGTTGGTTCCACGTCTCACCTGACTGATGTTGAGGCTGAAATGTGATCCTGAGATGCACAGATCCAGATTGATGAGGATCAAGGACAGATTACTCAATGGACCCACTTGGCAAATAATCTTTTATGAAAGGTGTTGTTAACATGTTGGGGAGTCAGACACGGACAGAAAACAACCAACAAGTGTAAGAAAAGTAAGAAAATACATAAACAATGATGAGAAACATGGCTAAAAGAGACAGAATTCAACCAAAGAGATGCACAAGTTCTACAGAGAGACAAGCAAAGTGTCTCAATGTCACACACACACACACACACACACACACACACACACACACACACACACACACACACACACACACACACACACACACACACACACACACACACACACACACAGATGACCGGTGTGTTACAGTGTGAGGATTCATTTATCATCTCTG